GCAAGCTTTGAACCCTTGCAGTCTGCAGCAAGTCGTCACACCATAAGCTGCAAACAAGGCCTTGTAGCAAAACATAAACAATTGGGGGAAAATCTTTTCCCCCCAATTGTTTAGGCTTTGAAAAATGGGCCTTCCGGCTCTGGAGATTCGCCGCGGCTGCCTTGAACAGATGCTGAACTTAGTTGCCTACTTTGCAGCGCCGAGCCTGCGCCTGGGATTATGTACCATTCTGGTATATAATGGCGTATTATGGCATATAATGGTCTATTTAATACACATAAATTATATTATAATATATTATGGTATATTATGTTTTCTTCTGCTATGTTATAGTAGCTTGGGTTTAGTGCAAGCACTGAGAGCTCCACCCCTGCGCTCGTCTTCAGTGGCGAACTTCGCTGCCTGTCTCACATGCAACATATTTCCAGGGATTATGGAGTGGAGCCTGAGTTCAATGTTCCACAACTTACAACTGGCAGCTGCTTGTAGGCTTCAAGGGCATAAAGCCCTGCCTTTACTTCATTGGCTTGGCCACCTGAACAGCCAGGGTGCAAAACCTTTTCTACCTCTTTTCCATTTCACGCACAAACTTGGTGCCCTGACACTTCTTCAAAACTCTTCAAGCCTTTCCAGAGTTTAAAAGATGATCCAAGACCAAAGGCCCCTCGCCAAGCAAGCTGGCTGCAAACCCCGAATCCCAACCTAAACACTCTAAACCCCAAACCCTAAACCCTTAAATCCTGACCTGAAATCCTATACCTTGGCGCTCCTTGGTGAGTCTCCGCTTGTGAGCAGCTCCAGCTCCAGGATCTCGGTGGCTGATCAGAGATGTATGTATGCCCTTACGGGCCTTTCTAGGTGTTCTGGGGATATTTAGGATTGAGTTTAGGGCTTGCCTCAGGAGGGCAGGGACATGGGGTGATTGCAACGGCTTCTGCAGGTCTGTGTCTAACTGCATCAGACTCTGTCAAGGATTGCAGGATTGTCTTAACAACGTCAGGGGAAGCAAACAACTGCAAAAACGTTTACAACCAAATCATTAGAAGGGTCACGAGCCATGAGCCATAGGAAGAATTAAAGACGTTTGAAGGGCGATGCAGTTGTGCAACTCCTTACTACGCCTCCGCCTCCTCCTCCTCCGGGTGTCCGGCCCGACTTTCCAGCCTTGAGCTCCGAAGGTGGACCTGAAGCAGGTCTCGGCACCCCGTTGATGCCGGCTCACGGTTCAACGCAACAGCCGTTTCTACACACCCGACCAACGGACCCGTTGTGGAAGTTGCGTCCATGCTCATGCTGCGGCGGAGTTCCAAATTTACTGGTTTGTGGTCCACCTGCTCCCGGTCGAAGCGCAGCTCCATGGCGACGTGTTCTGCCTGGAGCAACCTCCACAGTTCAACGAACATGATTTCTGATAATTCTGCAAGAAGAATCGAACGGTGGCTGCGCCTATCTATGCTGTCTGGCATTCAAAATAGGCGGATTGGTATCACCCTCGCTTGCCTGTCCCCCATGTCACGCTCCGCACGCCGAGAGGAAGCCAGCTCTTCTTCAAGCCTTCGGGGCCCAGCCAAGCAAGGTCAGGGCACTCACTGTTAGTGCTGTAGACGGCGCGACATGTCAATGCAAGAAAGATCCATGGGCCCGGCTTGCGCAGCTGCAAGTTGAGGCGCATGTATTCCTCGTCTGTGAGCGTTGGCTCTGTCGTCAATTTGGGGAGGTTGCTCGGAAAGCTGCTCGCATGTGCGTTCTACTGACTGCAATGGTAAGGGGCGAGGCTGGCAAGTTGAGTTCAGCCCCAAATCAAGATATCAGATGTGACGGCATGCCGCTCGTCGGATTATGGAGAAATGGCTGATATTTGGCAGGTCAGCCTCACGGACTGAGCCGACTGCGATGCCAATGATGCTTGAATTCCACGAATGCAGTATATGCGACAAGAGAACAACGCGGATAGCAAAACATCTCTGCCCTGGCGGACAAAAGAAAGCCAGGTGCAGCAATTGAAAAGCAGAGAACGTCAAGCAGCCGTACAGAACACCAATTTGTTGCCGCTAGATGGCCTTTTTTTGTTGAAGTGTAGTGGGTTGCAGCTGCATGCAAACGTACTGCTGGCAGCTTGCCATCCGTCAGTCCTCCTCTCGCTGTGCCCAATCACCCTCACCTGGGAACCGGACACATGAAGCTCCACCACGCTTGGGAGCTAAGGTCGACGACATACAGTGTAAGGTAATGCAAGGATTAGGAGCTATGTTTTCCTCACTGCTGCCAAAACCTGGCTCTCCATCATCACAACCATGACAAGCTGCACACAGGCCGGAATGATCCCGGGAAAAACAACGCAACAAAGTAGAGAGATTCCAATGCAAATGTACAACTGATATAGTAGGATTGGTCAAACCAAAATCATGTGGCAGAAAGATGACAACTGCAGCAACAAGAATGCTTTCAAAGACAATTACAACTCTGTTTCCCTCTGTAAGTCTGCTGCCAGACGCTTTCCTTGCACGTCGAAGGTCGAAAACGAGCTCGGCAATGGTTCGTTCTTTCTCCTGAGGATACAAAAAGCGCATGCCAGATGGGACAACCCTGATATACAGACTCGTTCGGAACAATTAAAAGTATGGTCATTGTAGAAGCCTGAATAAGCAGAATAGGGCTGAGGAGTTATAACACATTGAACGGAAAGCAATGGAAGGCTTCCACTGCAATTGTTTTAAAATGATGGTCCTCAAGCTCAGCCTTCAGCTGCTTGACCACGTGTCGGTCCTCCATACGTTGCGGGGGGCTCACGTCGCAACAGCTTCAAGCCTTAAGCAACCACGAAAACTAAAGCGAACTCTGACTTGTAGAACTCCCACGTTTCCAACTGTTTGTACTGACCAGTCTTGGCATTGACTGTTTGTTCAACTGCCGTCCCGCCTTTTCCATCTCCTGGCGAGCATCAACCTGAAACTGTACAAGCAGATCACTGGAAAGCTTGGGGGGAAGCCTGGCCCATGGTGCTCACTCTCACAAGATTTGCTTGGGAAAGAAGTATCTGATGGTAAAGTCCAGGAATCTGAAAGGTGTGGGGCTTTCTTGAGTTGCAAACATGCTCCCGAACAGTAGGGAATTTTCGTGCAGGTGGGATGCTTGCAACATAAACAGTCGTTCATTCACGGCTGGCTTGGATGATGATATTTGAAACAAAGCGGTTGCACTTCGGACCTCAGCAACACCTTAAGGTCCATTTTCCTGGAGCATGTTTCCTAAATCCTAAACCCTACAGCAGCATAAATGTTGCGCACAGTCCTAGGACCTCACCAAACCCCCCAAAACCTCTTGACCACAATGACTATGCTTCCTAGGAGGTGGTGTGCGATCCCTCAAACCCTGTGGATACTGAGTGCTACCGCAAGAAGACTCTCATGGCAACTGCTTTCAGAGCAGGAGTGAGACAGAAATTGGGCATGTGCTGCGATGTTGACCCATTGATAGAATATATTCAAACTTCATAAGGGTCCTGCAGCCGGCCTCCAGCCTTCGCTTGCAGCTTTCTAGCTGAGACTCCACGCTGTAGAGCTTGTCGCGCAGCTGCCAGCGTGTTGGCTTCATTGGTACTACTGCAGTTGCAGGTTCCGTTCAGTCTTTAGGCGGCTGCGCTAGATTTCCCCTCCAACTTCTAGTGGGCCGCACTGCTGCTATTGAACCAAGCATCGCCCGCAGCAGACATCAAGCGGTATCAGCTGCGGTGTTGGGCAAAGAAGCGAGGCCCAGCTGTGCCTCACGGGTTCCTTTGACTTCCAGCTTCAGCTCCTCGCGACTCTTTCTGTCTCATCTCTCTCTCAAGCCCGTGATTGTGCAATGCCAGTGGGGGCTTTTGCAAGCTACACGTCTCCGGGCCTGACTAGCCATGACTGTGCTTAGCCCTTAGCAGCAGAGTCCCTGAAGGATGGAGGGCGCCTTGATGATTGGAGGTGCTGCGTCACCCGCAGACAGAAGGATGGACAGCGGCCTGATGGTTGGGACGCTGCTTCCAAACACTCTACAACATATACAACATCATGTCCTCATGGGGCCTACCTCACATGCACTCAAAGGCCAGCACCTGCACAAACATGAACGCTGAACAACTTCACTAACTTCACTAGTACGTCATTTCCCATCGATTCCATTTTGGCCTGGCCTCGGTTTCTGAAAGGCTTCTTCACGAGCCGAATCCTCGCAGGTGCAGATTCTTTCAGGCGCTGCCCCGCGATTTACACCTTCCGAAGGAGCAATTGTCTAACGGGTGCAAAAGAAAATGTTGGGCTTCATTCCACGACATTCCACGTACCAATGTGCACGTAGCAAGAGCCGTTTTTGCTTCTCCCACGTCCGCCCCATTGCAAAATTGCACAGCCGAGACATTTGTGATGCAGCTGTGTGCAGACCTGCCAGCATAGGCAGCTCTTTCCTAGCCGTTTTAGCAGACCTCCATCTTCAGCTGTAATCAAAGACAGCAGGGTTTGCAGTCCAAGTAGAGCTCTTAGCCAGTGAATACAACAGCTTCGCGCAGAGATCTGAGGCTGACATGCGCCAGACCTGGCTGCAAGGCATCCGGTCCTCCCGGCGCAACGCGTCGAGTTCTTGGCGGAGGCTCCGCCGCTCCTGCCAGACAGCACTCAGCACTCCAAAGAGAAGCATGCAGCTGAAGAGGCCCTTTTGCGGCCGCGTCTAGCTTGCTGCTCTGTCTCTGCTGTGTCTGGTACTGTACTTCCCCCACACTACTCGTGGCTTTCAGATGCCAAACCCGTGTTCAAACTTGAACCAGGATCGTCTCATACTCTCGTACTGCTAAGGGTGACGCCCTGCCCTGCAAGATCAACACTTCTTGCCCGGCATGTACATGAGGCAAAGCACAGCTTGGCCTCCTCGGACTGGAAGAGCTTTGACCTTGCTCGGTTTTTCAGGCACGGACCAGGGGTCCAGCACCCATGCATCAGGTAGGTTCAGGTAAGCATAGCAGACTGGGCCTTTTGTCACAGTAAGCCACCTTCCTCTAAGTCGAAACTGTGGCGCCTACCCATGACAACGCCCTTTGCATCGTCAGGCTGCAAACAAACCTCCTCTGGGTTGCTCTGCCTAGGCAGCGGTGGCGAGTTCGCGAGGGCAGACAGCAGTGTGAAGTAGGCAGCCCAGCCCACGGCCATGGCAACAGCAAAAGGCAAGGCTTGTGCCATGCCCTCTGCCTTTGCATCATAAAGCCAGGAGTAAAGGAGGCTTCCTAGGTTGGAGGCCCCACCTGCGATGGCAACGACAACCGACTGGGCTTTGCCCTGGTCCTCGGTGAAGCGTTCGGCCAACAATGTCGAGGAGGCTGCGATGGTGCAAGCTCCCGCCGCCTGCCAATCAAACCGCCCCAGGCTTTCATGCAAAGACACTGCTGCTTAGATTTCAAAAGGTTTGTTTACTTGCTTCATCGGAACAGGTGGGCTCTCTTCAACAGACACGCTTACTTGAAGTATCTTGAAGTCAGATGGTGCAGGCACCAGCCTGGATGAAGGCTGCGCACGCACAGAAGAACGACCCCACAGGTGCAAAGAGAAGCATCGAAAGGGATACTGCCCCCATGAGCGTGCAGCGTTCCACAACCGTCTCTACAGAATAACGGTCCACAAACCATGGACCTGCCAGGGTTGACGCGGCGCTGATGATGAAGAACACTCCCATTGCAGCTTCTAGCGTACCCTGCCGCCAGTCGTAGGCCGACAGCACAAAGCTCTTCAGCAGTGACATCACTGACAACCCAAACAGCGCCAGGAACTTTGCAATGCACCACCGGAACAAAAATGGGCTGTGTATCGCGAAGTACAATGCGGCGAACACGTTCGGCGTCGAAGATGTGGAAGTTGAGTGACCCGGTCCCACAGGGCGAGTCTCGGGTATACGACTAGCAACTACAGAGCCTAAGGTGAAGAGTGTCAACAAGGAGGCCCACACTAAGTTGTAGTCCACGAACTCTTGTCGTAAGACGACAACACCGACAATCCATCCTGTTAACTGGCCAGCGTTTGCAAAAATGATTTTCACTGTAAACGATACGCTCCGATTTCCGCCCAAATCCCCGAGTATTGCGTGGAACGTGGGGAAGAAGGCGTTGGAGAAGCTACCGCAGGCAAACGCGAGAAACCTGAGGGCAATGACATCCTGGCTCACCAAGTTGATGAGGAGGAACCTTGGTCGTCTTGGCCACTCACACAGCCGGGCAGCGCTCGGACACAAGAGAAAGCACCGTCAAGTACTGCTAAGACCAAGAGACAGGAATTGTGCTAAGATGCATGTACGCAAGGCCGGCAGTCTACCATGTCGGTCGCTGACAGCCCCAATCACTGGAACCACAAACATGCTCATGATGCCTGGCGGGTTCAAGGTGTGCCAGTCGATCCTGGAGGTCTGGGGAGCTGACTTTGACCAGAAGACAACCAATTGGGAGCTCTAAGGGCGGGCAAATCCATAGCTCCTTACTACAGTTTTTTTACCACGGCATTGTCTTACAAATGTTGTGGGCAAATTTTGCTGGGTTGAGAGGAAATTATTCTTGGACTATTCCAGCCTTCCGTGGCGGACAGCATTGCTGACTGCCTCACCGCCGACTGCACGACGTACTTCTTGTCGCTGCAGAAGGAACTTCCTAACAACCCATTTCAGACTTCAACTTGAAGACCGTGAGTTGGGTCCAGAACCTTTCTAGATCCAAACCCGCGGCCGTCCCCTCTGCAACCCCTACATATCTTCCACCTACTGAGTCATGACATCATGTGGGTGCGACCATGCAGAAACTCTACGGATCATTTTGCTAGTCAGGGAGCCTGAGAAGACCTCGCCGGGGTCGGAAGAATCACATCTGATGAACGAACGCAGCACTGGGTCCATCAACATGTTCCTCAAGACGTGGCAGCATTAGGAATGCTATTCATAATCACTACAGCAATAAGAATAGCAACGACAAGAATAGCAGCTGCAGAAATGGTGCATGCGGGGGTACTGATAGCGGCACTGGGAGTTCTAGTTGCCATAGCTGCGGTTGTACATCGAGCTATTATAGACGACGCTGCGCTCGGTCGCCAAAAGTGCGGCGATCTCTGCGCAATCCCCTCATGAACGCCTCAAACACCATGCCTGCCTGCTGTTTATAACCCCATTCGGGCAGCTGCGTTTGATGCATCCATTCCAGTGCAGCTGATACCTCGCTTGCCTGCTTCTTGAAACTCCATTCCCATACAATTGCCCGCCTCACATGTTGGCCCATGTTGACTTGCTGACTTCAATTCCGCGTGTGTTGAAGCCTTGCTATGGTGGTAGAGCTCCCTGCCTGGATTAGGCGCATCAAAGTCCGTTTCAGGGGCTACAGCCGCGCGCCTGACACAGCACTTGCTTCCGGGCCCACCTGCCCGTAACACTAAAAAGACTTTACCTGCTGGCTTGAGCCCGATTTCAGCACCTCTGCCCGCTCAACACCCCAGCTGCCTGTTGAGTGACGCCCCATTCTGGCGCGCGGTTGCCCACTTGAACACTTCTCCTGCATTTACTGACCTGTCACAGTGCTACTGTCCTCTCACCGCTGTCCTACTGTCTCGCTGTCCTCTTATGACACTTGAACTTTGTTTTTTTGAATGGTAGAAAACCTTATTCTTGCCATCGTGGCAAAATCGCTGTGATTAGATTTGCATCAAAAGCCGTACAAACAGAAAAGATCATAAAAGCCTTTTCTGCTGAGGCACCTCAATGTGAAAGGGATGTTGAAGACGAAGACAGTCAGAAAAACGGGCCAGGCTTTGGCAAAGCTTGCCTCCACTTCGTTCCGCCATTTCAACTCAGAGTTGTTCGTCATCAGGCCGCCGATGCTCATCTCGCATGGTGGAGATAGGGCCAGGTTTCATGGACCCTTGCATGAGCAAATTAAGGAACGTGCCCTACCGGAGGGTTGCAACTGTCAGCGATGCAGGGTAAAGATCTAGCTGTGCGCAGCAAATGCATCTGGGCTAGCAATGTCGCTGACCTTACGGGGTGCACGACTGGCGTTTCTTCGGCCGGTTTGAATTTGCCTTGTGAGTACTGATCCCTGCCAGTATCACTCCAAGTTCTCTTGGCTCACCCTGTCATCAAAGCACAGTGCGTGTTGGGCCGTTGTGCTGCAAACTGTCAGGCACATCCAAGGAAGGCTGCTGACCATCTCACAACATGGTAACGCACCTCCATCCTTCAGATTCTGCCTTGACGAAAGCACGACATCTTTTCTAGGGTTGACCTAACCGAAGCCAAGCCTGCATTGCATGCATGCTAAGCCATCTGTTGATTCCCTCTTGTCTCAGGAGTGGTTTCTTGATCTTACCTTTGCGAGAGCCGTCCTTGCACTTCAACCCTGCGGTCGTGTGCTTGGCAGATGTATGCAGCCCCTCAGTGCCAAACTCTAAGTGCTCCAGCTGGCGGCGATGCTTGGCCTGCACACACAGATCGTGCAGATTCTAACTCAGAGAGCCGTGAATGAATGGGTTCAAACTCGGAAGACCTGAACTGATGTGCATACTGTTGATGAACCTGAGGATCAAGCTGGTGGCACCAGAGGTATCGCCGCAACTTTCACGGGAGCTCTCGCAGACAAAATCCGAACTTACTAATCAGACGAGCAGATTTGACTGCGACTTCGAAAGCCAAGTTCTTGTTCTTCGGCGGGCAGCACATCTCACTTTCGCTTCGTCGTGCTTCTGACTTGGCAGCGGCCGCACCTCCACAGCACCCTCCAACTGGCGAGCCTGCGACATGGACATGGACAGGCAAAAAAGAATTTAACAAGGTTGCTACCTCCGAGAGCACACTTCTGCCTCGCGCTGCTGGTTCCACAGCAACTACTGCAAAAATTGAAGGAACAGCGTGATGCTCTCCCGCCGCCTCGTGGGATCTGCCACGCCCCTGATGCGCGATGCCATCAGGAGCCTCCAGAACTAATATGTTTGGGGGTGTGGGGATTTAAGGTGTTTGGGAATTGAGAGATTTGGGGTCCAAGAGGTTTAAAGGACAAAAAGAGTAGAGTATCGGCTGTTGTGGGAGAGCAATCCGCTTCCTAGTTCTAGACTCCCCCTGCCCCAAAGGTTGAAATGAACATGCCCTTTAGGGGGGGGGGGCAAAAAATGAGGTGTTCGTTTTTGAGATACGTTAAGGGTAACTCTTTTTGGGAAATACCCGCATTTGCAGCGCAGGGAAAACAAATGCAACATATGACATATGCAACATACTGCAAATTGCTGCGGGCGTGCTTTCTAGCAGCCTTGCTGCTACCAGTTTCACTTGGTCGAGACTAAAAACGCTTTGTCACATCATCAAGCCAGCAATCCAATGAAATCCCTTTGTCGCAGCCGGAATTCCTAAGCACCAAACCTGAAGCTTCTTTGAATCATGTCAGACCTTCGTGCGACCGCGCGGAGCTGCTGGTACTGGACTGGCTGCCTCAGAGTCTTCTAGGAAGCTGCAAGCGTTGTTCATGTAAAAGCCGAAAAGTGCTGTGTTTAGCGTGGCCGTCCTTGACTCTTCCAACATGGCCCCCTGCAGGCATACTGCCTCACGTGCTTGAGGGCTTGTAGACTCTAAAGTCCCCTTCAGCCCTCAAGAGCTTATATCGCCTTGATTCCAATATTGCGCGCTTCTACAGGTCGACTGTCAGGGACTCGGGACTCTTGCTAGGTTCGCCACGTTGGCTGAAGCGCCTCGAGCCTGGCATGGACGCTATGAGCAATTCTGAATATCATTCTGAGTACTAGGCCGATTCTCAGCAAAGGTCACCCGTAAGGATGGGGAATACGTGGGGATCAGAATTATGGAGGTGCCCTTATAAGACATGGACGGCAGTTTTTGGAAATTTCCGCCAGGAGTGACAGGTCTGTGAGAGCAGCATTGCAATAGCGACTGGAACAGCAGCAAGACCAGCACACGTCTTGAGAATATGCAACAAAAACTCCCATGTGTTACAGCATGTGCTGCCAGCAAGCTTCTCAACCGCTCCCGCCAACTATTCAGCAAGAATATCAAGGAATTCTAGCTTGAATTCAAGATAAGGATGAGAAGGAGCACCACAACCAGCATTGGCCCGCAAACAGGCACCCCGAGCAGCTGCTAGACAGGGGCGATTGCTCTTGATCGCAGACCCCCGTGCTTGGGCTTGATGGCTTCACATGGTTGAAGGCCAAATTTGCGGAGCCAAGCTTTCCCAGAGGTAACGCTACCGCTAGCAGGCATTGTTGGAAGTCTCGCCTCCTCTGCGTGACGCAGCGCCCTCAAGAGATCCTGCCGGTTGTAGATAATATCGGGATATTTACCCTATGTAGCACCAAAAGATCGGTTGGGTGTCTGGTTGCTGCCTCAGCATCAAGAGGTTGCAGGTCTTGATTGAGGATGTTGTTGCATGAAAGCCGCGTCAGGTGTCCGAAATACTGGTAATCTTACAAGGGCATCTACAGCTGCACTGGATAGGATTCCTCCTTGGCAAAGAAGCCGCGCTTGTCCAGATTCAGCACGCCAGCCAGCTTGGCAAAGTCTTCTGCCTGCGTTAACCCGAGCACTGTCCACAACAGCTACTGACGCAGCAGGACATGGCAAGGCTGTCGTTTAATGGGGTCCGATACTTTAAGGACAAACTTGAGGCTACCAGCAGCACGCCGCTCTCAATTTACGCTGAAACTTGATGTAGACCTGCTGTAGTCATTATGCAACTTGTGAAATCCCTGCTGGCGGTGATGCAACGTGATGCACCATCTCTGCATGCAGTCCTGCAACGCCAAGCGATGCCGACCACATGCAAGACGGAAGGCTTCAAAGGAAACTTTGCCATGCCTCAGAGTGCAATTAGTCTAAGAACAAAGTCTGCATGCCGCCCCTGTCCCCATCCTGCTAGGTGCTCCAGATAGGTTCGGTACAGCATGGCAAGGCTGCTAAACTGAAATCACCGTTCTCACAGGATCTAGGTTCCCAGCATCTGCGGGTCCAAGTCCGCCAACAACTTCACTAGGCTCAGCTCCCGCCGCTTCAGCTCCATTCGAAGTGCCTGGCTACGCGGCTATGCTGGAGGCTCTGCAGCTTATGGCTCAGAGACTTTGGGGTTTTGAAGCTGCATGAAACTGCCACGATCTGCTGCGCACCTCAGCTGCAGGACGCCGTGGAGGATGAGGAGGCGAATGTTCCTGCATTTCATCCCAAGAAGGCCATCGGCCACCAGGTTTTGCATGTGCTTGACTTCTGGAGCTAAAGCTTTTTTTTGCATGTACAGTCTGTTCAGTAGGCCACGCTTCCAAGCTTCGTTAGGCTCCGCAGCTTGAGCTGTGAGAACGCATCCCTGGCAACCAAACCTTTACTACATACATTAGGGGCTACTGGCCCTTTGCAGGCGCAGTCATGACTCCTAGACTCTACACAATTTTTGAAAGGATCCCACTTTTTCCCCGGACGAAACTCTGGCACCACCACACACTCGCATACACCCGTAGAACCCAACAAAGAGCGCAGAAATTTTCAACATCTCCGAAAGCCCCCAAGGCCCCGGCACTGCGGCCAGGCGAGGGGCTGCGGCCTGCACGATCCGCGAGCCGTTGACGCAAGGTGTCCTTCAGCTTTTGTCCCGTGATCAGCCATCCAAATATGCTCCTAAAGGTGTCCCGAAAAGGGTAGGATGATAAGGAGACATAAGGAGACCTAGAGGATATTTCCCTAGGAGCACGACTCAGGAGGGTCAATGAGTCACGGTTTCGTCTGATCAGCACGCCTAATGAGGGCCATGAAGATCAGAAGCACGAGCAAGAATCCCATGGCAAGCTAGCTTTTTCTTGGTAAAAGCTCTGCTTCACGCTTGCAAATTGCGGCCCGGGCATTCTCTTGAATCAGATCCAAGCAGCGTACCTGTCAAGTGTGGCTTCTGCGCAAAGTGCAGGACACGAATTGGAGTCTTCTGGCTAAGACAACGTCAGCTTTGAGTTGCAATCGTATATTGGGGTTACATGGGGATAATGGAAAAGAAAATGAAAACTACTACGTACATAGATAACGAGCTGTCCGAACAGAGACCATGTTTCCAATGCACTGCTTGTCAACATGAGTCATGGAAAGTGCGTTGCGAGCCTCAAAACACAACTAACTCTAAACTTGAGGATGACAACAACATAAGTTTGCTGCGTTAATGTAGGCCAAGCTTTGTACGCTGCAAGTGTGCAAGTCGTTGGC